CCCCTTAGTTAATGCATTCAAAGATTTTAGAGACCCCAACTAGGAAAATAGGAAAGGAGCTAACTTGAGCAAACATTCTCTTCAGAGGAAACCACTTCTGAGCAGCCACCCACATTTTTATCTTGCCTAAATTGTTCCCATAATAGCAAACTCGGGCTGACCAATGCGTTCAACTAAATTCCCAGCATTTCCAACTGGAGATTTTGGACAAGGAAAACCCTTTGCCTCCGTGTGAGACTCCAGGAGTTTTTGCCACATATAAGGCAGCTTCATCTGTGAGAGGACAGCCAGGAATCATGGCATTGAGGGAGTCTGCAACTACAGCACCCTGTGCAGACAGTCATCCAGCAAAGAGGGGAAGGCACCCCAGGCCCCACAGCTGGCTATCCATAATTTGGTTGAATTCTGCTTCCCTAACAACTTCCACTCCTTCATTCTGGCCCTCTTCTCTGGGGGAAAGAGAACATATCTGCTGATTTTTTTCGTGGCAGCCCACCAGCTATTTGAAAGCAGTAGAAGACTGTAGGATGGGCTGGTCAAGCTTTTGCTCCCGAAGAATTCAGAGAGGCCACTTGGTTCATAAGAATTCACTTTCCGATCACAGAATATTTTATTCTAACTTCTGAGATTGTCCTTAGGCACTGCACTTTGCTTTTTTTAAAAAATAGTTTATTGAATATTTTATTTCACAAAACAGAAAAGAAAAATGGCTTCTTAAGAAACAGCATTTTGTAGCTAACTCCACATTTGTAATTCTTTTGCAGGGTGGCACACTGAGCCTCGTGGTAAGCCAGTTTGCTTAACCATGGCTAACTGGCTGGATTGGTACATCAAGCTAAACCATAGCTTGCAATTATCAGGGTCACACACCATGTAAGCAACAATGAGATCTGCTTGGTTTGCCTTACAGCGTTGGGCGGCACAGGCACAGCCTTTCCCAGGTTCTTCCCTGTCTGACTGGCAAGAGGCCTCAAGCTCCTTGAATTTAACTCAGCCTGTTTGGGACAATGTTGAGATATGGCACCCAGACCAGGCAAGAAAAGCCGTCTGCTTATTTAATTTTCAACACTTGTATGTTGCCCATCAAAACAATTTTTTTCCAGGGTGCCCCCAAACATTAGCCCAGGGGAAGATTGGTTGGGCAGCCTGGACAGAAGGGAAGATGGGAGAGAAGAGACTGCCAGCTTTTCCTCTCACCCTAAACAGGTGAGGTCCCTGATTCGAATCCAACTTTGCCAGGAGCTCACTTGGTGGCCTCAGCCTCAATTCCCCTGATGACAATATGGGGATCCCAGGAACTATTCACTTTGCTGGGTTGTTGCAAGGATTACTGAGAAATAGCTATAAGCACTTAGGAAGTGCACGCGCACACACACACACACGCCTCGTTACCCAATGTGGAGTTCTTCCAGCACATTGTTGCATTTCAGGGCTACCCCCAGAGCAGCTGCTCCACTGTTGCCAAAGCCATTATATGACAGATTGAGGACTCGAAGGAATATATTAGCCTGTGGAACAAGACAGATTTAGCAGTGCTTGGAGAAGGTCCAAAGCAGAGTGTCCACAGGAGGCGGCAGGTCTTTCTCCATTGCCATCTATAGCTTCTACCACAAGCCACTCACTCACAGAGAACCCCAGGACCTTAATCCATCCTCAAGACTAGCTTCTGATGTCCCATTTGCTTCCAGGTTCCTTCCAAACAGGGTAGCTCTTCCACTGTTTAGGTGGTAACCCTCTTGGCTTCAAAAGCTACTTCCCCTAAATATAAGGAATTGCTGTTTTTATGGAGTCCATGGTGCTCTCTGAGCTTGGTTGTTTGATTGCGGACTTTTCATTACCTGGCTAGGTAACGTCATCAGTGCACTGATGTTACCTAGCCAGGTAATGAAACGTCCACAATCAAACCACCAAGCTCAGAGAGCACCATGGACTCCACAGTTCAACTCTGAGCTACATTTATTCTCTTCAATTGCTGTTTTTATTCTTTCCTACCCAGAGAATGTTGAAAGGAAATTATGTAAAGCAGGGGTGTTCAGAAGGTATAGACTTTTTTAAGTCAAGATGGTGGCCAAACTGGACACAACTGAAGCTCCACCTGTTTTTTATCCAATGCACATAAACACCAGGCAAAGCTTCAATTGTATCATTGTGGCCCCCGTCTTGACTTCTCTTGACCATACCCTCTGGACCCCCCAGTACAAAGGGTCGTAGGATTCTGTCTGTCCATCAGCACTCTCCAAAGCCCAGACAGAAGGGGACCAAACCTGGTGAGGGGGAGAAATGGGCAAGAGAAAGATTGCAGCCAAGAAATGGGCTGGATCCCCCAACATCTCCTGATGGGAAGGGGAGCTCAGCACTGGCCCAGTGCTCTGTACCAAGCCCCCCTTCTCTCCAATCATGTGAGCAGAGCTATCTCTAAGGGGCTCTGCAAGCTTTCCTTACATCGCTAAAGAAGAAAGCGTAGCCCCAAGGCCCCCTGAGTCAACTAACTAACTAACTCGGCTGCACAGCTTCTAGAACACCTTTCATTTTTAGCTACATTCTGACCTGCATCACTACTGTATGCCCAAGAGCCGAGACGGCCAATGCCTTTATCCTCTGCTGGGAAATGCAGGGAATGTGGCCTGTGATCTCATGATGCCACCAGAATGGGCAGGGCCAAACTTTTCGGACTTGTTTGCACTTTAGGGGATGGAGGGGTGAAATAGCATCTTACGCTTTACAAGTTTATTCAGAATGAAAACTCTAGAAAAATCCCCTTTCCTACCCCCAAGCCTTTGGCGACAGCCACTGCTCCTTGGCCCCGAAAGTTGTTCCAACTGAGGTTGAGTTCCTTCAGCCCCACATTTTCTGCCATAGCCACTCCAAGAGCCTCTCCTGGTTCAATACAGATGGAAACACAAGAGATGGGAAAGGGGTCTGAAACATCAAACTGACAGGCTTTGGAAAAGAATGACACCCTTTTGGGTCCTCCCCCCCTGCACTTAGTAGCCTGTCCCCACCCAACCTCATGTGACTTTCCCTGCAGAATTTTCACAGGGCAATTCTTCTCAACACAACAGATATTTCAGCTCACAGAGGAAGAAGGGAAGGATAGTAGGATTTGCAAGCAGTGGGAAAAGGAGGTCCCCATGGAGCCAGGAACTCTGAAGAGCACTTGCTGGTGGGAATTGCCAAAGAGTTCCAAGAACAGCTCATTCAGTAGCAAAGCAGGCTTGGTGTAATTCACAAGAACTTTCCCCTGCCCAGTCCCCATTGAAGAGACAAGCTACTTGCACAGAACTTTTCAGGGGGTCAATATCATGGAAAGGTTTTATCCTCCTATCTTGGGCCAGCCCTGACTGTTCCAACCACAAAGTTTAGAGCAGTCTTTCTTAACCTATCTGTCATGGAAGACCAGTTCTCCTCAGGCACCTTAAGATGTTCCACAAGTTGGACTCAGGATCTAAGAGAAAGTTTTAGGTGGATTTTGGAACCGTTCAATTTCACCAGGAAGACTGAGATATCTGCAGGATTCTCATCCGAAGTAAAATTGAAATAATTGAAAATAATTGAAAAATATTCACCACTAGAACAATTTGGAAGAAAGTTCACAAAGCAATTGAGCTTTTGTATGAAAAGGTACTGAAGGACTTATTATCCTTCTCTTCAAAAAGTTTTTTTTTGGAATTCTGTACTCTGGAGAAGTTTGAGACATTTAGTGCACAGCCATGCGGGTTTCAGCCCTTATGGTCATGGAGCATAACATTAAAGTTTGGGGTGGAAGAAATCCTTCTTTTCTTTGTGGCCTTCAAGTTAGTCTTGACTCCCAGTGACTGCCTGGACAAGTCCCTGCAGTTTTTGTAGCAGCATTTTTGGAAGAGGTTTGCCCTTGCCTTCTTCCTGGGCTGAGAGAGGGGGACTGCCCCCAAATCACCAGCTGGCTTCGTGCCTCAGGCAGGACCCGAACTCTCAGATTCCCAGTTTCTAGCCCAGTACCTTTAATCATTGTGCCAAACCGGCTCTTGAAAGAGAGAATTATAGTTCCCTTTTCTATTGCAAACCCATCTTTAAAGACCATTACACCTTTCCCCACGTGAGGCTAGTTCCCCTGTGTCCAAAAATAAATTTGGCCTTAGTCAGCCATCAATGGCAACCTTTAGCTTAGATGATTCTAAGGCATTCTTCCTCTGAAGACAGTTAAGACATTGTAACTGTTCAGAATGCCACTGCTTGTAAGCGCTCTGCATCATTTTTATCCTCCGGTCAGAGGGCTGATCTTGATCTTCAACGCCTTTCATGGAGATCACCCGTCTCCTCATGCACCTGCCCTTATTCTGAAACCATCCTCAAAACTTTTCTCCAGGTATCGTTCTCATGTGAGTAGACAGCTGGGAGGAGATGTGATCGTTTTAGTGGTACCACCTTTACTCTGTCCCTGGCTGACCTTGCTGTCGCATAAAGCTATGTGACTGTGGCTCTGGCCAGTACTGGGACAGTCTGGAAATCTCAGACTGGTAAGTTAACAAAATTTCCTAGAAGAAAACATTGGCAAGCCGCTTTGTATTTTTTTTTCAAGAAAACAATGTCTCTGTAGATAACTGAAGCCAGGTTTAACTCAAAGACTTGACTTCACTTTCTATCCTTTTTCTGGACTACTCTCCCCAGAAAGGTTCACCAGGCGCTAACTGTTATGCTGAAAATACATGTAAACTTTTTTATTTTCCCAACTCCGGTTTTGTCTCTATGATTCATATTATTTTGATAACCTTTTAATACTGGTTTTAATTGCTCCTTCTCCATAATTTTACTATTACATATCAATTATTTTATTTCAGGAAGCAATTTTATGGTAAACCAATGGATAAAACTCTTAAGGGGCAGGTAGCAACTTAACTAAGCCCAACTTTCTAATCCCTACCTTAATTTTCTTTTTCTTTCTTTTTCACTCTCTCAACTTTGGTAGTTCTTCCCTATTTTCTGCATACACTCTCTTCCTTTGTCCCCGCCTGTTCTGCATCAAATCACAAAGTCTTCTTCAAAACATAAGGGGAAGAAAGAGATAGGACTGGTGGGACGATCAAAACCTCTCATGGTGTGAGGCAGAGAAGGAGATTCCAAGCCATAACAGGTAACGAGGCAAGGGAAGTTGAAGGTAAGGAAAGAAGGAAAGAAGAAAGATCGGA